TTCTTATTTGATTAGGTCACACAATGAAACATAGGAATGCGACCCCTTGTAGACCTGTAAAGCAATCAGCAATCCGCTGCCATTTTCATATGAATTCCACTGATACTCCGGTTTTGCAGGGCTTGTAATGGCTTAAAATAAGGGCTTAAAATCTCTCGTATTTCAGCCCCCGCTGGCGTCGATAAATATTCCTTGGCAACGTTTGCAGTGCTTCCGTTCCAGAGGCGGAAGGGATGGCCCAACACGTCCCAGCTCGCCTCCATCGTCGTCCACGGAAGTCGTCCTGCAGTGAAATGATTTTAAATAACAGCAGTTACCCGCCATTCCCCGTGTGGGCAGCTAGTCCTCGGACGGAACTCCCGCTGCTGGACACACACACACACCTGCACTCCATGTTGCAAGGACTCAGCTTATGCAGCAGGCAGCTGGCACGCATTTTGTAATTAATGGGGCAGTGATTATGTGGAACAACAGGCAAACGATTAGTTGGCCGCATACGCATAATGCATGTCCTTGAAATCGAACCGGCAGCATTGCATTATCGCCGGCGGCAAATATTGCAATTAATATTGGTGCATGCACAGTTGACTCCCTCGTACTCAGATCGCTATCTCTATCTCTATCTGTATCTGTAGCCGTATCTGTATCCGCATCTGTATCCGTGCATCTGGATAGTCGGATGTATCTGTAACTGGCCCGAGGGGTTGCGTTTTGTTTGTCCCGTTTTATGGCCCAACTGCACGCAGGGCCAGCTGTCGATCCCATTCTCGCTGGCCACCCAAAAACGCCCCCGGCTTACTGCATTTATGAGTTATTTGGCATTCGGTAGGGCCAATAACAAATGTACGATCCTCCGGTTCTCGTTGGCTGCACTTTGTGACGGGAGTGCGTAAAATTGTTTTGGGTTCTGCTAATTTATCTGCAGCATTTGCCTAATTTATGTTATTGCCGAGTTGTTTGACCGCCCCTAAATCATATTGACGAATGGACAGATACCACGAATCCTGCTGCGCCACCAACACACACACACACACACACACGGGAAACATCCTGGCCAGAAATCGTTGCTGCCGGCTTTAAAGCGTTGAAGGACAATTAAAAAAGGGCCGACTGGTTGGAAAAAAAAGAATGGAGCTGGGAATAAATAAAATTAACTACGAGTTGCGGTTACACATTCCAATTTGCTGTTGTTGCATTTTATGCGGCTGTGAAAGAGGCGGCTATGAAAATAAAGTGGCCGTCCTGTAAACCCGCAGCTGAAAACCCCCTTTTACCGGCGGTCCATTCACAGCAGAAAAAACACAAACAAAATCGAGAAAAAGGCAGCAGAATTCCAACAAATACAATGCGCAATTGCAAAAGCGTTAAAAAGAGCAACAATGTTGTGCCCACCAAGGAGGGGGTTAAGTGGGTGGCTGGGAGGTTGCAAGGTTGCAAGGTTGCCCGGCTGAGCTGTTCGACAGGGGGGGGGGATGGACCCAAGGGGCATAAAAGCGTGTGCGTGGCCATAGAGCGGGATAGGTGATGCTCTCGCTGTCTCTCTCCGTTCTGGTGTCTTTGTTGCCTCTCACAATAGTTTGCGTTTTAAACAAATGGAAAGCGTAGCCAAAAATAAAAGCCGAAACAATTTTATTGAAGATTGCGATTCGCAAACGCAGAGACACACTCACATTCGAAATTCGAATCGCTGCGGATACATGTTGCGAAAAAATGCATTTTTCAAAGCATTCAAAAGATTGGTGCATTTTGTTTGATTTAGCTTCAGATTCCTAAAAATCTTACAACGGAACGTGATATAAAGCTATTCAGTCCCAATATCATATTTAATGGAAAATATTTCTTATAAACATCCAGTTTCTTCTTAGTGCAAATGTTTTTCTGTTTGCAGAGAAATGAAATTTGTGTGCCTGCGCTTTTTCCAGTGTACCTACGCACATACAAAATTGCGAGGCAGCCGGGAAAGGTACGCAAAAATGTTGCCAATCGAAATTCCCTGGCTGGGAAATGCACTCCGCCTTTTTTCCAGCCGTGTGCCATCTCGCAGAATGCGAGGGGGCGTGGCAGCGGTAGTTCGGTCCTTTAGAGGAATAGGAAACACTACTCGCAGCGCCAGAAAATCGACGCGTGTGTTGTGTACACGAATTAAGTCCACTCACTTCAAAATGTTTCAAACATTTCGACGTAATAAAGTGCGTTCTGCCCGCTTTTCCGGCTTCAATTTTAGCCGTATTTTTTGATGGAGAGTGGATATAACTTTTTGCGCAGATCTGGAAAGTTGAGCTTGTTGTTGCCTTCGCTGACAGTGTTTCGCTTATTTTTCAGCAATTTTGCTGAGCGAGCAGCACTCCAAACATAAAGTTTTGCAGCATCCCCAAATTTTTGTGGCTTCGAAACACATACACACGTGCAACACGCTGGGCCAGCCAGTAAATTGCAGATTTTGTTCCTTAATTTGGCATAATAACTTTAGATTAAATAATCACAAACTGTTGGCAACTTGTTGGCTGTGTTTTTATTTACCTAAGCACAAACTTCACAATACTATAATGCTTTGCTTGTGAGCTTAGGCGCTAATTTGGCTATCACTTGGACTATAGTTTAAAAACAGGGAATTACAGGGAAATCTCTGTGAATGGTGCATGTTTCTGAACATCATTGTTGTGCAAAGGTTTGTTGTCTGCCCCGCAGGCTGAAACTTGTATTGGTAATTAAGCTCTGCTCATTGTTTCATGGTTTTTACACAAACACAAGCAATTCAGTGTAATTTCAGTGAAACTCTCGATTCTGCCGAACCTCAGCATACACGATCCAGAGTCACAAACTATTATTTGTGGACAGCGTTGCAGTTGCGCCCTTTAAAATGCAAATGCTGGCAGTTGGCGTGGAGCGAAGGGCGCGGCAATGGAGTGGGCGTGGGCGTGGCCAGGACCTGGCTAAGATCAACAAGCTGTGTCAGATAAGATCCGAGTGGTCATTAGAGTCCGGCAAACAACTGGCGAGCCTGCCGCTTGAGGCATGGAGAAAACAACAAACAAACAAAGCGAAAAAAGGAAAGCAAACCACTTGACCATAAAAAACTTCACACCTCGCATTGTACACTCTGAGTGGCGAGTGGGCGGGGACCTGAAGTGTCCAGGAATAAACACTTGAAAATGCTGGCAGGAAAGGGTCGCCACTCGCCGTTGTTGTTGCTGTTGTTTGCTGGACAAAGGCGCAGGACGAAGGGCAGGACTCGCAGGACTCGCTCTAATGGGGCGCAGTTGATGTGAGCAGGACACGCAGCCAGGGTGAAAGGTCAGCGGCCAATAACCATTTGAAGTTGGCATTTGGTCGTCAGGCAGCTGCGTTGCAATCAACTCCACTCCTAAAGCAGATCAATTATCGGTAATTAGGCGCGCGTTTTCAATTAGCCAACTGCATTGCGAGCGTTTTGCGGCTAATGAGAGGCACTCACACACACAGTCGCTTTTCCATTTGAAAAGTGTGAAATTGCCGGGGAACCTCTCGCCCAATTGGCATTGACATTTATAATTACGAACAGCAAGGCAGCGGCGCACAAGGACCAGCAGGACGAAAGGACGAAAGGACCAACCGAACAATGCCGCTGTCGGGCACTCAGACACACTCGATGGCAGCTACAGAGGCCACCCGCTACCAGCGACGGATGCATCAGCGGATACATCACCCATCCAATCGACGGCCCAAAAAGAGTCGAATTTTCTGCTTCGAATGAGCCGCATGGCCTGTTTGTGACAGGTCAGATGGCGCAGGACTCGCAGGACTCGCAGGACTCGCAGGAGGGCGGGCACCGAAAAAAACAGAAACAGCACCGCTGTCCAATGGGTTTGGCTAATTATGAACTCATTGTGAATGATAAAATCCATATGCGTTGAATGAAAAACGCAGCGACGGGCAGACACAACAATGCGATGTCTGCAGTGGAAAGGTTAAGTTAAATGGGGCTAAAGTCGCGCACTTTAACTTAATTATTAACTATGAAGTATTACCTGTAGTTGTGCATACAAATGCTATGCATTCTGTTGAAGAGTAAGTCAGTAAGCCAGTCGCACTTGAGTAGGTTTTAGGCACTGAGTTTAATGAGTTTGGGCTTCCAAGAAGTCGAACATCATCTGATGGGAAAATGATCAATTAAATTGTTTCCACGAGTTGGCCAGACGAACTCGAGTTCCACCTATTGCTGCCCACAATATTTTGGAAGATAGTAAGCTGCTAGCCGAAATGCGTCATCGGGGATGCAAAGTGCGGCATATCGAGTTCATTGATCCCCGACACGGAGTAATATTTCCGCCTTGGCTGCTCCTCCTGATGAAGTGCAGGCAAATGGTTGCCATATGGTGTGGAAGTGGAAGAGCCTGATAGCCTTGCTGTTGGCCAAGGTGTTGGTGTTGCCGCTCCTGAGGTTGTCATTGTTGTCCGCTTTTGACACGCCAACATGACCGCAAATGAGATTCTGTCTGCCTTTCTCTGTCTGTTTTTTGCCCCTCTCACTCGCACTCCAGCTGTCCCTTTCTGGTTTCTCCCTGCTCTGCATCTCACTTTTTGCCGTTTACGCCCACACGCACCCACACGCATTGAAGGACCTGGGCACAGGATAACCCTGACTGCTGTCCTTGTTGTGGTGCTCCTGTCAATGACTTTTCATAAGGTTCATTTTGCTGACAGTTCATATTACGGATTTCTTTTCCCACACACAGCACTGCCGAAGGTGCTGTGTTCCCCTGGAAATTGAATGTTTGGTGGGTAGTTTGGTGCTGAAGTGGCAGTTGGTGGCGGGGCGCCTCATCAATAACTCGCAATTAAGGAACCCTCATGCGGGGAGGTGTGAACGGGCGACTCCTGGGCCGATTAGAAAGCATTTCCAACCAGCAAACAAACAAGCAAACGAGTGCCAGCACTTCCTCTCACTTTCTATCTATCACTGGGCGCGGGGATACAAGATTTGTATCTTGAGCCGACTTTCCCTCAAACTTGTAGTTCGCAGCCACAATCCCCTTGGTGGTTCGGTGTAATTTAGATTTATGCGCCCCGCGGATGTCTTCACCCCTCTCGTGCACGGCGAGAAACGAGGGTGAGTTCTATGCTGCCAATGTGAAATAGCTAACAACTTTTAATAGCACTATATTTACGGATTAGTTGTAAAACCAGCTACAAATTCTGAACTGTATAATTGGTAGATATGGTAAATGTACTTTTGTGATAACTCTTATTATTGTTAAGGCGCAATTGTGATATTGAGATGCTATCCGCCCAGTGCAGCTTATCCGGGAATCTCGCATCGGAGTCCATCTATGGAGAGCCAGCCGCATTTCGCGTTGATTATGCTTGATTTATATGACAGGCCAGCCTCCGAGCAGAAGACCTTGCCATGGGGGCTGCGAGGGTTGCCCCGGGAGATGTGTTAATCCAGCGCAGCTAGGAGGGAGTCGTGGGTTTCCCATGTCTCTCGGCGACTTTTGACTTTGGTTCCCTTTTAATTGAGCGCCAAGGCACGGCTGTCCGGGGCACGCCCCCATAAATCAAGCGGCCAGTCGGCCTGCTGGCCTGTTGGCCTGTCGCCTGTGAGTTATTCACTCAGCCACAATGTCCAGCTGTCAATCATCGAAGCAGTTGGCTGCGTAAAAAAGGAAACGACAATTTAACGGCAGTCAAGTGCCGCCCATCAAGCATACCCTGGAAATAGAGAGGTCTCGGCCCGATTAGGGGCCACCCTTTTGGGGCAACTTCATTAGACCGGCAAACTCTGGCTGCCCCGGGGCCAAAACGGCAGCCACTTTTAATGAGACTCGAACAGATTCAGCCCAAGGAGTGTGCGTGGAAAGTGGGTGGCAATGGCAGGGGGGAGGGGAGGGGAGAGGCACGTGACATGACAGTTGGAGATTTTCTTTATTTCCTGCTTCAAGCTGCGAGCCTGCTGGTGATGATTTTTCGGCTTGTGAGACATAGGAAGTTGTTGAAATCTTGTGATGCATTAAAATTTGCAAGTTTTGACTTGTGTGTGTCTGCGTGTGCGTGTGTGTGTGTCCTGTGTCCTGTGACTGCGTGCGTGTGAGTGACAGTTGTGTGTCAGTGGCACGCTTTTCCAGCTTCTGGGACACACACACACTGGCACTTTATGCAAATGTCGCTTTTCTGCGTAGCTGCTTCGCTTTTTAATGAGCACACACACACAAAAGGTTGGCACACAACCGCATTAGTTGATTGTGTGTGTCCCTTATCCTTTTCCCTGCTGTGTGTGTGCCGAGTCCTGCGACTGTGAAGCAATTAAAACGAAATAAGCTAGGTTTTTTCACCCGGCAAACCGATTTCCACAAATGGCATAGCCACGCCGAAAAGAAAGATGATTAAATTGCTCCAAACTTAATTTCTAATTTAATTTAATAAATTAAATAGTTTGCAGGCCATAATTGGAAGAAGAGCTAGAAATGATAAATTTTTTTAATTTTTAAGGTTTGAAAATGGGTGACTAAAAGTGAGTTAAGGGAGCATTTCGGGCGGAAGCACATGCCAATTAGCCCTCGTGACCCACTGAAACTCCCACTCGGGCTCCTTGTGTTAAAAGCCCATTAGCCACTCAATCAGCTGGCATCAAGTATTGCTTTAAAAGCATTTGCAATGCTCCCTTGCCAGTTGCCTGCATTGCATTTGTTATGCCCTTGTTATCCTTGATCCTATTTGCGCTTTTCCTCTCTCTCCCTGCGCCGTTTTCTTGCGATTTTCTTTCTATTTTCCACTGTTTCTGCTTCTGCAGTGGCCATACAAAACGAATGCGTCATGTGCATAGGTGTGAAGGTTGCCGCGGGCGAGCAGCTGAAGCTGCAACAGCTACGTTGCTGCATAAAAGGCTAATGCCCCGGGAAAAGTGGAGGTCGAGCTGCCATCGAAGTGCCCTGGGTGGCATGGTGGCTTGGAGGTGCAACAGCTTGCCAGGTGCAACTGCATTAGCATGCGACAATCTGTTCCCATTTAACAGCAGCCCATATTTTTATGGCCAGCCGGAAGCGGCGTTCACTTTCAGAGTGCAAAAAAGTATATCAAAAGTTGGGAGTTTTATTGAAAAAACCTTTTTTTAAGAAGCTACTTAAAATTATTTTATTAACGTGCAAAGATCAGTTTTGGCAAAACAAGATTATGGGTAAAATTAATAAGAGTAATTCTAATAGGTTTAAATTTAATATATATAATTATCAACCATTTATTGTTTTACTTTTCCTTGGCAATTTGGAAAAACATGTTCGTATGTCTTTGGCAAATGTTGCCCTCATCATTGTTGCGCAACACTTAACGAAGGCAGCATGCTGCGAGAGAGCGGAAAGTGTAGTTGCTTAGAAACATTCTGCCGTGCTGTAGCAGCATGTTGCATGTGCCTAAGGGCAATTGAGTTAAAAAGGGAAATAAGTTAATTTCAGCATAGAAAGATTTAAAAGAACTTAAGTTCTATCAAATTATGCATAATCTCCTATAATTTACTTATTTGCGTGCTTGAACACCTAACAATTCATTTATTTTACATTCATTTCCGTGAGCTATTTATAAATCTTAAAAATGAAACTAGAATCCTTGCTTGGATCCTTACTAAAACATCTGCAGCGAGTCACACGCAGAATTAGAGCTAACCAATAATGGCTAAATACCTCAGCACCCACAGCTTGCGGCAGATCAAAGAAAATTGGGCAATTCGGGTGGCAAGACCAACAGGCGATAGTAAATGCTCAAAGCCCATTGATAATCCTTCGCCAGGACGACAACAAAAGCTGGGGCTAACTCAATTATGCGGTAAGTTATGGACACGATTGGGGCGCCGGCTGAGTGGAAAGTGGCCAGTGACCCCCGAGGAGGGATAAAGCCTTTTGGCCACTTTGCTGTCAAATTAGTGCCTAGTTCGGGCCGCATAATTGGCCAGCCGAAAGTTTTTACACGCCGCCGTAAAAGATTTATGGAAATTATGCATGTGTTTTTTGCTCATCCTGCTGGGCGGGGTGGCATTTATGAGAGGTGCCAATAAATCACATGGCGAGTGGCCCATTAATTGGCTGCAAGCGCGCCCGAAAGCCAAAACAACACACGACCAGTTGCCAAAGGTCACGTCCTGGCAACTGGCCGCATGTTGCACACGCGGTGTTGCGGTGCTGCTGCCGAGCGCGAGCAACATGCGGCACGAGAGAGCGCAGTGCGGCAGCCACTCGCAGCAGACTCGTGACCAGACCACCGGGTCCGAAGTTCGTCTCCGTCCGAAGTGAAAAAGCGTGAATGATATGCGGCATGTGTTGCTGCCCCGCAGCAGCGGCAGCAACAACATGAAGCAGCAGCAGCAGCAGCAGCAGCAGCAGCCGAGCAGCGGCAGCTGCGATTGTTGTTTAGTTCTTATCCGTGGCTCACAGCGTTTGGTTCGTCGTGCGGGTGCTGCTCCGTAAATGTATCTGTGCCATTCCTGGCGCTTGCCACTCTGCAGGGATTGCGATTCTCAAGATTCTCAAGATTCTAAAGATTCCCAAGATTCTCTGGTGTGTTTTGAATTTTTTTGGCCCCAGCCAACTTGCAATTTATGTGGTTAATTAGAGGAAAAGCAGGCGGCGGCGGACAATTTGTGCGTGACTCTCGACTGCCGTAAGTGCTGCGCATCCTTCACGTTTCGTGTGCCGCGCCCCCACCGCCCACCAGAAATAAACACCAGCAACAACAGAAAAAAAAGAATTAACACAACGTGCCGGATGAATAATAATACACTCAAGTTATCAAAACACTTGAGGAGAACTGGGAAAGGCGAAGTCCGAAAATCTGCAGTGCAAAAAAAGCGAAAGGGAATTGAAATTGAAATTGAAATTTAGGGCAAAAGCGGATTACGAGCAGCGATAACAGCCGAAAGCGAGAAATGAAAATGAAAATGAATCTCCAAGTGCGGGAAAACAAACAGCAAAACTGAGCAGTGAGTTGCGGAAAATTCGAAAAGTGCGTAGACCAGATAGAAAGACCCCACGTAAATCATTAAATCATATGGAAATGTGAACGCGTCACGCTGCCTCATTAACGATTTCCCATTTCCCAACCAACGCACTTCAGTTGCGTGCGGATCATCAATTAATTCCAGTCAGTTTTCGCACTTTAAGCGCCAAAAAAGCAGCAATACAAAGGAGTATCCGCACAAAAAGAGCGCACAAATTAATGACACAATAACGCACTGCGGTTTCATTTGTAGTGGTCAGTATCTCAGTATCTCAGCATCGCGTGTGTGTGTGTGTGTTTTCCAGAGTGGGCGCAAACGGACCACCCCCTCTGGCTTTGATTCCGATTCCCAACCGATCCGATGCGATGCGATCCGATCGGTCGCGTGGCATATAATTTATCACAATTGTCAGCGTCTGGCGGGGCAAAGTGAAAGTGCATCCGCAGATACAAGATAGAAGATACAAATTGTTTATGCAGACAGCTTTGCAAATACGGGTCAGTGCATTGGAACAATAGCTGCGAGCAGCAAAACTTTTGCTCTCTATCTGTTGGCCAAGCAAAAACCTAAATAAAACTCGCCAGTGGGAAGGCCTTGAAAGTTCCTCTGTCTTTTGGATTAGCTAGCCAGTGCAAACCAAAGAGCCGGGGTAAGTTGGTCCTTCTGATTTCAGCCACCAGTCCGTGCCTACAGCTCCGCCTTCAATGCGCCATGCCATTCCAGTCCAACCAGATCCCTGGCCAGCTAGCCAGGATCCACAAACAGTCGGGGTTTGCTTATGGACGGACTTGTTTGCCTTTCAAATTCGCATCCTTGCGTGGGCTGCTGTAGTGGTGGTCACTTGAGGGCTCGGATTTATGTCGTGGCTATTGTTGCCATGGAGGGGAAAACAAATTAGAACAAGAAAGTCATTAACGTGGCAGAATGCCGAACGTATTTAAAGCAAAGCAATTAAATGTTCGCTTTCAAGCTACTATAACCCAAATATTTCCTTGCGATTTGAAAAGCAACTTAGTTTATACGCAATACTTTCCGTCATTACGGCTTTACTTATTCTTAGCCAAATAAATATGTTTTGATGCATCCATTTCCTAAGCTTCTAAGCAAATCCCGCCTTGCTTACAAAAACAAATGAGGCTCCACCCACGGTTTCTGCATAAATCCATTACTAAAAACGAGAAATCTACTTGTTCCTCTCCTTCAGCGGCATATTTTGTCCTGGCTACGCAACCTTGGCAACAATCCAGCCAAATCCATGCATGAATTTCGCCGCCTTGCAGCCAACCCAACACTCCCATGTCGTGGATTCCCGGACTCCCGGCTACTGCCCCATATGGCACACATAAAAACCAAATCACAAAATCCACTGTGCAGCTACTTTCCACCCACAGCAAAACATAAGCTCTCATATAAACGCCACAGCCGCAGGATATTTGCAAAGCCAACGCCCTCCTCCAGGATCCCGATCCTGATCCTGAGTCAGTGGCGGCACGATATACGCCATATGCCGTCCAGAGTTCGCTCCATTAAAGCAAATAGAAATCCGGAGCATATACGCGTTTGGTGTGGGCAGCACAAAGTTCAAAATATGAACAAAGCGAAACAAAACAGGCGAACGGGAGCGTTGCAAAAATTGCGAACAGAAAGTTGGGGCAGCAGCCTGAAAAGGAATTAAATTTGGGTAAACGCATAGAAGGAATTCAATTTTTAACGCACTGCTGCAAGCGTCACAAGCGTCAGTGGCACATGCAACTTGTGCTATGTGCAAATAAAAGGGCAGTCGGGAAATGGGAAAAGCTTGCCAAACAATAAAACTTTCAATACATATTTTATTTGACTTTCTGCTGCAATTTTATGCATAATAAATCCTGCAGCAGAACAATTGCTGCAGACCTCGGGCGCTACGCAAAATGGATAAATATTATGGGCAAATACAATCAGGATGGCTAGCAAAGCAGAAAACATCCTGCGAGCGACTTGTGCATAATGAAGAGACTCCTGCATGCAGGATAAGCGACTGGCATCGCTGGCGGCGATAAACATTTTGAAAATTCCATTAAGCTCGGAATAAAATAAATCCAGCTCAATTTGAGCTGAATTCAGCAGCTGACGCTGCCGAGGAGCATCACGCATGGCGTTCGTGGCATTTGGGAAATAGATGAAAATGAATCCTGCCACATTTTCCAATTAACGAAATTTACAAAATGCCAACGCGCCACGGCTAAGCCGTGCAATTAAAAAGCTGGAGCACGTAGAGTGCAACGTGGGCGGAAAAGCCGAGTGGGGAAAGTTGGGGGAGTGGGGAGTGGGCTTTCCAGGTGCAGCGGAAAGTGCGCACGTAGTATGCAAATTATTGCAAATTATCGGCGTAAATTGCGTTTGGCTTTAATGAGTGGAGAGTGGAGCGTCTGGAGCTGGAAAGTTGCTCCAAGTTGAATTAGGCATCCGCATCTGGGTTTTCGCCACTGTTTGCCTTTCATTTCGCATCGAGTCCCCCTGCTGATTTATGTATCTTGCCCCGACCCTGCCTATTTACATTGTATCTATTGCCAAGAGCCGAGTCTGCTCGGATGGGCAGGCTTCGATTTTATTTGCGTGCTGTCACGTCGCGGCGAGTGTGGAAATCCCCTCCTCGGATATTTGTGATTCTAATGCCGCCAAAGTGCTCGCCCTGATTTGCATACCCATCGATATCGATGGCTCCAGCTCCAGCTCCAGACTTGCGTTTGACCTTACACGTCTCAATTGCAGATGGACCTGGAATGCCTTGGCCCGCCACCAAGCTCAAGTGCCTGGCTACTCCCACAATGCTAATTGCCCGTGCCCAGCTAATTGCCGGCAATTCTGGACAATGCGCCTTTGTCCGCGTCTGTGCCATAATTTATCAATTTGCTGGGCAGCCGCTGCAAACGAGGCAAATGAAGCGAGCCGGGAAAAACGAGCTTATCTCATGTCAAACACACTTAAGCCGAGGAAAAGCCCTCCCCGCTGTCTGCCGAGATGCTCGTGTAGGTGGCTTGTAAATTTTTATTGGCCCTTAATGCAATAGGAACTATGGAGCCAACATGAACATTACCAATTGAATTGGAAATGGGTATTAACATGGCCATCCAGTTACATGGGCAGCGACTTGGCATCGGCAAATCGAGTACACTGCACAAAGCTGGTGGCTGTTCGCAGTCAAATGATTGGCACTTTTATGTAAATCATTAACCGGACTTTAGGCAACAGCTTTGCAATATTAGACTTAAAATAATATTGATGTTTATCATATTAAAATAAATATAAATTGCTTGTAATTATGCTTTTGATAGCCTCTGATAACATGGTAATTCAAAGGAAGATCTGATAAAAATGCTCAAAAAATCTCCGTGTAAAGGAGAGCGAGCCAAAAGGACAATTGCCAGGATGCGGAATGCTGTTGACCAAATGCGATTTCTGCATTAAGCACGGCGAATCGCCTTTACCTTGCTTTTTTATAAGAGATTCCCCACCGCGATATCTGCAACGAGCTTCGATTAATGTCTGAGTCGCTTAATTGGCTTTCTGTGTTGCGATTTCAGCTGAATTGCTGCGGATGCTGCTGCTGCTGCTGCGGATGCTGCTGCTGCTGCTGCTGCTGCTGTTGTCGCGGCTCAAGGATGAAACAAAAAGCACACCGCAAGCATTTGCATTTAGATTGAAAACGCCCGGCGCTCGCGAGTTCGATTTGGGTTTGCTTTTTTCGACTGTCGCCCGCTTCGCTTTGACTGATGCAAGCTGAGGAAATCAAAATCTCGCTGGCCCGAAAACGAACACACACCCACACATGCAGGTAGACAATGGCAAAAAAAAAAAGCGGTGAAAGAGGAAAATTTTGGGAAAATGGAAATGGCAGCCATCTCATCGAATAGCACCGCTGAATGGGGATTTTTGTGGCAAATCTTAATTAAATGCATAATTCGCATTTATTATTCAAATGCTTTGATTTATGCAAAGCGTGTCGTCGCTGCTTTCATAAATATTAATTAGAATATTTTTACGTGCGCGAATATGGATGGGAATTTGCGTGCCATCGATTCGAAATTAAATAACTATTATGGTCAAGTGGCCACAATTGCAGAGTGGCAGTGAGCAGGTCTCGAAATTTCATCCTTTCCGCCGCACTTTGCGCTGCGTTTGTGCAGTTGGAAAGGAGCTTGTAGCCCTCTGAATAAATTAATGTCAAAAGTACTTTGGCTTTTGATTTTGATTGATGATTGTGCGCCTTCCATGAGCAGCAGGGCCTTAAAGCTCCGATCCACGAACGGCAAAGGCGGCCAACAAAGCCAAAGCCAACCACTTGGGCACTGAAGTGGCCGCCCATTCCATTGCTCTGCCAGGACGATGAGCCGCAGAGCCGGAGCGGCTCTGCGTGTGTGCATAGAAATTACGCATAAATAACCAGCCATGAGAACGCCCGACTTCCGCCCCAAAACCAGCGACCCCCCCCCCCGCTCCAGCCCCTGCTGCCCAGCTATCTCCTGCTGCTTTTGAAAGCGGCTGCATCATCATCTTTGTCATCCTGCTCGCTGCATCGTTGACAACGCCAATCCGCAGTCAATGACAGCCCGGGCTCTGCGCTCCTCATGTCCTCCTGACGTGGCTCGGATCTGGCCGGGTACACTGCGACTTTTTCCCGCTTTCTAAGTTGCTCTTATTCTTACTACATCCAGATCGGAACCTTGCGGATTCCATGGCAAGTATGGTTAGACTTGCAGATAGTCACAAGCTATCTCAATGATCATGTAGACTGCTCAAAATAATTAGCAAACTATCTTTCCGACTGCCTGCCGCAGCAGCGCCCCTAAAGTCAGCGTTTTTGTTTGCTGTGTAATCATGTGCCACACGCACGTGCGTGGTCGCATTATGATGCTGGAGATCGGGATGGAAATGGGTCTGGAGGAGCGCACTGGAGTTCGCTGGAATGCGGCTGGGGAATGTGGAGCTGACTAGCTGTGGGCGGTGGGTGGTGGGCGGTGGTTGGTGGTTGGTGGCGTTGGAGGTGCCTTTGTCCCGACCACAGACGCATCAATCAGCTGTGTGCCTTGCTGCTGCCTTCGATGATACAAAATCATGCGAAAGTTCGAGTTGCCATTGCCTTTGCCTTTGGCTTGCCTTTGTTTCTTCCTGCTGCTGCTTTTTTCTCGTCGTCTTGCTCGTTTTGTTTTTTTTTTTTAAGCTCGGCCTGGGCGTGGCCCTGTAATCAATTACGTGGCTTCATTAATCATGCAAATACCAACAGGAACGGTGCACAGAGCACAGAAACTGAAGCTGAAGCTGGAACTGAAACTGAAACTGAGACTGAAACAAGAGCAGTATTGCCATTATTGATTTTGTCAAGCGTGCGGCTGCTTATCAGCTAGCTGACGTCAAAGTCCCCAGAGTTCTGCTTAAAATTAATAAATTTTCCCAGAAGCCACAGCCACAAGACGACAGTCAGTCAGTTGGACAGATGGACAGTGGGACAGTGGGGCAGACAGACAATTTTCTTATCGGAGACAGCCATTGTTGTTGGTGTGTGTCGAGCACATTTGCATAATTTGCCCAGCCCAACGTTTTGACAGGACTCTATGTGCCATATTCAAGGTTAATTTGTTTCGGCAAACAAACTTTGACTGCGCCCCCAAGTATGCTAATATTTTTGCTCTGCCCTCCGCCTGGCATTCTGGATTTTCAATTTGCCTTCGACTGGCATTTTATTTGCAGAATTATTGAGGCTCTCATAATGAAGTTTCATGCCATATGCATACACGCCTTAAAGGCACTCAGCACACATGTTCAGCCGGATTGTGGCAGCAATCCTCCTCGCTGGGGAGTCGACAGTCCTGGAAACGGAGTCCTGGGAAATCTGGAATCTGGGCGGAAAGTGCGGGGGCTGCATTAAAAATGAAAGCCCTTGGAATTCGCTTGTTAAATAAAATTTTATGTAAATGATTGAATGAAAGCCGCTCGCGCGAACACTGAATGCCGTCGTTAAAATGCTTTTCAGGCCCTTTCGTTGTAATTGATTTTGCCTTCAATGGCGCTGCACGCGCATTTTGAAAAGGCGTTTAACGTGGAGCCTGGCAAAATCCGTATCCATTCCAAATACACATGTCGCCAGCACCTTATCCTCCTCCATTGCAGTGTCGCTGGCTTAAAAGCATTTAAGTCCTGCGGCTGTTTCCCGTTTCCTGTTGCGCATGCTTTGCATTTTGTTACCTCTCAGTTGGCTTCTACGTATTTTTCTTACCTTTTCGGCTGCCTCCTTTGTAAGCCCTTTTTATGCGCCTTAAAAATGCAAATTTACGTGGACATTTAGTAGCGGCGGGGGGGAAAGGAGCGCTAGTTAAGTGGCCACCGCTAATTATGTGCAGCCCGCCAAGTGCTCGCCTTCTCGGCCTTCTCGGCCTTCTCGGCCTTCTGAGCCTTCTTATCTGCCCGGCCAACTTAGCCGTGCACCCAGTTGAGCTCCAGTTGAGTGTCGGGTTTTACGACCCGGTAATCTCCATCTCCAGGCCCTAAACTCCCAATGATGTGAGCGGCGTCAAGTCGCTGGAGCGACAGTTGTCATAAATATGCACATACATAATGCATACCATCTAGCACATAATAAGCAGATAGTGCACGGCAAAAAATCAGTGCCTCACGAAGTACAAAGCCCAAACAAATAAATAAAGCGCCTAAAGTCAATGCGGCAAGTTCCAATTAAGTGAGATACACAGGCATTCTATTTATTTACCTTTTGGCAGCTTAAATTATTTGATTGTGCTCAAGTTTGCTGTAAAATGTGCCACTTTTGAAGTTATTTGCCGAGACTTCCTGAAAACAGGGTCAGCAATCAAACGAATTCCTGGAAAATAAAGCCCAGGCATTCGGCAACACACAGTATAATTTTTTTGCTCTGCACGAGTAAGTACTTCTGCCGAATTTGTGCCCGCAGCATGTAGATGCCACTGCCGGCTAATGCGATTTTTTTGAATTGACAGCTACGTGACAGTGCTTACGACTTTAATGACAAGAACAACATGAGCGACAGGCGGACGGAGGGACGGACGGACGGAGGGCTCTTCATCGATGACAAGTGGCCATATTTTATGGGTGACGAAGTGGGGTTGGAGTGGCATCCCATTTCCCACAGAGATCAGCGCAGGCCGGGCTCAGACGGCTAATGCGATGTGGGAGCCGGAACATCGGAACATGTGTGCCTCAGCTGCATTGTATCTCGCAGATTCGGCGGCGCACAATCAGCATTGACATTTGACATTTCGAAACGGGCTTTGGCTTTGGCGGATGCAAGTGCAGCTTCCACAGCTTCCACAGCTTCCCCAGCTTCCCAGAAGCCCCGAGATGATAAATTGAAAACTCATAAATTATGTCAAATTATGTTGGGGCAGCGCCACCCGCTTGCCGGGTTATCTTATTTTATTCTACGCTGATGACGTTGTCTGCGGTGGACAGTCGGTGTCAACTTCAAGCTCGTTGCTCATTTTGTCAGTTGAGTGGAAACAGTCTTGACATTTATTAACATTTTCCCCCAACTGGCCGACAATTAAATATGACCATTTTTTATGGCATTTATTAAAGTCTTTGCCGCGTAGGTAGCCGGAATGAACATAAATCATCTCTTTATTTCAATGCTGCTTGCTTATTTGTGCTGCTGCTGGACAGTACAATTCGAAAATCATTTAAAAAGTAAGCAACTCCGGTCCAGCCGGAGATGCTGTGGCATCTGAAGGGGAACTGGGCCATAACTCAATGTCAATTCGAGCCAGAACAGACTGTGGCCAGGCAACCGCAAGCCGATTGAGGAAGATGAAGCTCTCGGGCCTTGACCAAAATGGAATCAAAATATATTTGGTATTTAAAATGACGAGCGCTGGAGCTACGCAGCCCCCGCCCCCAGGTGCAGATACAGATACAGCTACTCCCACTACAGACTCAGATACAAATGTATCCGAATCGTGTGGATTTTGGAACTTCTGGTAGTCTGTTTAGCACGTTGCCAGAGTCGTGTGTTTTATTTTCGGCAAATGGAAATTGTATTATGTAAAACATGCCTCGCTTCGCAGGCACCAGAACACACACACACACACAGACACACACAGATGTTTCGACTGTAACTCGTAGATACTCGTACTTTTGTGCCTTTTGCAGTTGCCTTCGCCTTGGGTTCGTTTCCTCGACAGCAGTTTTGCGGCTGATGCTAATTTTGATTTATTTAAATATTGTTTTATTTCCTTGAACTGATTTGCCTGGCTTGCAGGCAATTGTTTTGCTTTTCCAAAGTGTTTGCATTCCGACTGCTGGTCAGTATTTTTACTGTGGAATTAAAACTGATTTTAATGTGCCTGCTGTCTTTGCTTGGCGAATTTGTATAGATAAATACTTTGTCAGAACTGACTGACTGACATAAACGCCGACCCAGACATTCTGGAGCAGCACGACTGAGGGCTTCAAAGGAGGCCGTAGAATTCCGGAAACCTTGGGGAATATGCCGCAGAAATCCCTTTGGAGCCGACTGCATTTCTAGATTCTGGAGAAATGTCTCTCGGAAGACATTTTGTCTGGCTCCCGCTGTCGCCAGAGGGTCTAAATTTATCACAGACAGCCCCGATTTATGTTTGCCAGCACTGCAGTGTCAATCCAACGAGTGCTGGCTCTTGGATCCAGAATTCTTTAATATGGATCCGATTTATTGCAAAGTTATACATTTACTTGAAGAGCCAAATGCATTTGTGAAAACCGCACCAAGCTGTATGCAATAATCATGGCTGATGCAGCAGCTCCATTTTGGCCAGAATTTAAAATGCCTTGTTTGGCCGAATGCTGTAATTAATTGAAAACTGTTTATAAAATGCGGCCCATATGGAATTCGTTGTTTTTTTGCTTTTTGTTCGCGTGCATATATTAAACGTTTAATTATGCGAGCCTACGCGTGAGTTTGTGTGTTCGAGTGTTTTTACTGTGTACGCTCGGTTATTATGCAAATTATTTATTGTGTGAATGAAATGTAAATTTTTAATTGATTTAAAAAAACGCTCGCAAATCGAATGCAGCTCGTCCCGTCCCGTAACTCGGTCACATGTCAGCTCACGCGATTTTCGCCGCCAGTTGGCCGTGGCTATTTTCCGGAATTTTCCGCCGTGCAAAGGGCGGCAAACGGGGGCGTGGCAGTAATAGTAACTCTAACTGTGACTGCAGCGAAACTGTTGACATTCACGCACAAATTGGATTTACTAACGAGTTGGCTTTGGCCAATGGGTGGCTTTGGCGTTGACGGTCGCCTGCTGTTTGTCACTTTTGGCACTTTTGTTATCGTACACCCCATGCCCATGTGAACGGCAAAAAAGCCGGAAAAAATGCCAAAAAAAAGAAACGGAAAAGGGGGGATGAGGCCGGGAACGCGAAGCTTTCGCGCCTGTTATTTATGGCTTCGATTATCCCCGCACACAATGGGCCAACAAAAGAGCGGGGAAAGTGTTTGCCCTAAGCAAACCCAGTGGAAAACGGCTTGGCAGCGTTTCCAAGCCGGCAATAAAACAAAACGCACACGCGTCCCATTCAGCCGGAACTTTCGATGGCCAGGGAGGAGCAGCTGGAGCGGGAGCTGGAGCTGGAGCTCCTATTTTCCGGCGCAATTCGGGAATTTTCCGGGGGTCAAAGGCAGAGCAGCGGAATCACAGAAACGGCACAAGGACATGCCGAAAGAGGCTTTGCGTATTTTCAATAGTTGCCATTGTATACACACGAAACAATCGGAGGGGGTGTTCGTGTTTGTAGCCTCAAAAGACTGTTGGTGGCACAGTTCCACACAAAATTATATGAGTAATGCTTCTCATAAGTAGGCAACTATCGCTAAATCGGCAGCTTTACATTTTATAGAGTAGTAATTTGCAATTAAAAGTAAATTAATCTGAAAACCATATCTTTTTAGATTTATTACTGAAAGCGAAGGGGTATTAAATAAAAAATGATATATTTAGAACTATTCGCCTGGCCGCAAGTGTGCCTACGCATATGCGTAGGGGAAATCTGTGCGCTGATTTCAACGTTTGAATTATGATTTCCATGGGTGGAAGTTTTAGTTTGATTTTTGCCATCGTTTCGTCGCTTTTGTCACTGGGGCTTTTGGCTTCGCCTGTGGTTTTGATTTCGGTTAGGGGTGCCACTACATGCCATCAGCCATTCCACACTCGCTGTTTTCGGGTCTAAGGACCGAAATTTATATTCACCACTAATGCGGGCACTCAAACTACAAACACAAAATGGCTTCGCTGGCTCGAGCTGTGCCTGTGGCCGTCTCTTTCTGCCCCCGTGCTGCGATCTCTTTCTGCTTTGCCGATTTTCCCTGTGGCTCCCTAAGTCGCTGGAGACTTTTAGCTGGGGCCATGTGAAAATGACTGAAATCGTATCGAAAATCAAAGGTCACTTTTGGGATCAATTCAAAAGGAATTGCCGCATTCAAATCGCTCGGAGGCACTTGTGAAAATACACAGAGAAAGCTGTTTGCAGAGCGCACGAGAGGGACAGAGATAGGGAGAGAGAGAGAAAGGACCTCATATGTGTGCACAGATGCGGATATGTGCTGCCATAGATATTCAAACTAAATGGCGTCATCTATAACATGAGTACATGTGTGCGGGTGTGTCTCTGCTGACTGTCGATAGGAAATGAATTTTAATGATTGCCCCGAAAAACTTTGGCCATAGCTGGTTGGCTAGATGGCTGAATGGCTTGTTTGTCCCGTCGAAAAGATGGTCGGAAGAGGACGAGGTCCTTTGCATATCTCCGCCTGATTGCTTGTTGTTCCTGCGAGGCAGCCCCGAAAAGTTTGCACATTAAACTGTTTAGTTTAAGTAGCCGATAACTGGGGAGTGTGTGAGTGAACCCCTGACCCCTACGCCCCACCATTTTGGTCCATTTGCGATGTGCTGGTGTGGCGGAAAATGCAAACAATTTTCCATGATGCGGCACGTGCTACGCCTCAGCCATTTCACTCATGCAACTTGCCGCCTCTCAGCTGCTGGCAATATGTCAAGAATCCGCGATTTATTTCTGTGCCGCGGGCTAATTAAAAATATCTGCTCTTTCGACTCTAGCCAGCATATGAGCATATAGATTCTAGAATGCCAGATGCAAATGCATTTGTGTCATTCGGTATTCATGACTATTAATTAAATGGCCAAGTAAATATTTCCCCGGACATACTTGGATAGACACTTGAAGTAGGAGCACAGTTTTCCCCAAGCAAAATAGATTGCCGCCCCTGCCAGAGTCTATAATTGGTTTTGGCTTTTCCGAGAAGGGCACCCTTTGAGCCCCCATCCAATCTCCCAGTGCTTCTTACAATCCAGCTCCCCAATCTGCTCTCAATTTACTTTTAATTTGATTTCTCAGCGCTTGGCGCTTTGTTTATTTTTCTAATTAATACGAAAACAAGTTGCAAGTTGTTCTGTTCCATTTCGCTGGCCAGCAGCCAGGTATCAGCTATTCCCCTACTCCTCCATCAGTTCACCAGTCACCAGTCCGTCACTCGGCGGATTCCCAGTGGGATAAGTGGATTAGCGCAGTTTGGACCACTACTAAGCGTATGTACTATATAGTCGCACCTATATGCCACAACCAACGCACACAGCCACGTTTAGCGCCGCTTTAAGAAGGCATAATTAATTAGTTATGGCCGATGGTTGGGGCAGTGTGATGTGTGCTTTTTGCCGGCGACCTTATCGCAGCCTTCCGATAAGAGAATAAATAATGAAAGATAAACAAAGTCAGTCAAGGCTGAGACAAGCTAACAAAAACAAGACCAAAGGACATCTGGGTCCTGTTCTCCTGCCATGAATGTGGGTGTGCTTTTGGGTGTGGGTGTGGGTGTGGGTGTCGCTTAAGCGTCATGTGTTTTAAATGAAATGATCCCTGTCACGCCCCCTCAGGCCAACTGCCTTTTGTGAAGCCAGGTGACAAGCTGAAATCTTAAAGTTGACATCTGCTTCCCCCGCATCGGTTTGCAGTGGAAAAATGAAAATTAAGTCCCCAGCCACATTCCTGGGGGAGATATTTAATTATTGGCCGTGCCAGCGCTGAAGGCTTGATAAATTAGATATTTAATTCTGCGAACAAGAGTGTCTAAAAATGCAAAACACAAGAAGCGACCGTTAAATAATTGTTT